TTTGATATTAAAACGACTTTCCATAGAGGGTATGTTGAAGGAGAAGAAGAAGGAGGGAGCAAAGAAGTTCAGGGAGATCAGGGGAGAAAATGGGAACTGTTGGGTAAAGTGGTCAGTCATTGCAGGTAAGAGAGTGAGGGAAGGGACAGCTCTCTCCTGCCCGTTGGAAACCAAGTGAAAGGGTCAGAGATGGGGAAGGCCTGAGGTCAGGTGAAGGGTAAAGCTGCAGGAATGTGTGTGTGGAAACTTCTGGTGCTCCTCTCTATCATTGTCCTGGGGCTAATCCTATGCTTCCCGAAATTTTAATGTTCTTTCTCTTTCCCCATTTTAAAATCCATTTATTTATCACAATATGCACCAGTGACATCCTAGTTAGCAGTGAACTGTAATCCTGTTATTGTCATTATTAGTATCTCATATATTTTTCCTTTCCACTGAACTTGGCTAGTCTGAGACCATTTTATTGTGAGGGGATACAGCAGAGCTTCTGTGTAGCTTCAGTCTTCTTTTGACAAATCTCTGTTATTCTTTCACAACTGTTTTTACTCCCTGGCACAAGGAGGCATTGCAGACGCATCACGTACTTTCTCTGTCCTGGCTCCAAGGACCTCTGCTGTCCCAATGGCATTGTCACAGTTAGGGACGATACATACTGACCTATGTATGTACTTACCTTTGTGTGTGTTTGTGCAAATAAATGATCCATCACATTCATAGGCACATGTGTTGTGCCTCTGTTGATCTGTGTCGACAACCACGAGCTCTCACTGTTTCCTCTAACCCCAGTCGGGCCCCACAGAATCAGACTCAGCTCCTGGGCCTTGTGCACCCTTGTCACTCTGCTTGGGCCCAGCACCCACAGCAGGTGGTGAGTTTCCCAGCTTGGGTTCTGACTCCCAGGACAGGCCTCTACTTTCCCCAGCCCTGTGCTCCTGAGCAGATACCCTGCTCACTCCCTGCAGTCCCCAGCCCCTGCAGGTCTCCAGCACCCCCAGTCCTGCCCATGCAGCTGCCCACTTTCTGGGCAAACCCTATTGGCTGCTGCAGTGAGTTATTCAGGGGAAAGACAAGTGTAGGCTGCAGGACAGAAGAGAAAATAAGGCAGATATTTCTTTATTGATAATATCTTTTAATCCATTGATTTTTTTTTTGCGTGTGATTCAATCTGAGAATCTTTCATTACATGAATTTGTGCTATTTATTTATTTATTTTTATTTAATTTAAAAAAAGATTTATTTATTTATTTATACAAGCACTGGGCACAGTCAGAAGCACGGGAGGGTGAGAGAATTCACCAGAGCCAGGAACAAGAACAGGCAGATTGACGAAATACAGCGCTGAGGGAAGCAGCGGTCTCGGCAGGAGAGGTCTGTTGTGCCATGTGGGATCCTCGCCAGAGGCCGAGAATCGAACCGGTGCTGCAGAGGTTGCAGGCAGCTTCACAGCCCAGTGTTCAACCGCTGCGCCATCAGGGGAGGCCCAATTTGTGCTATTTTAAATATTCATCTGAGAGGGGTGTTTATTAGTAGTTTTATCTCCTTAATGCTTCCCGTCAGTTTTTTATATTTCTGAACAGTTCTAGTTTTCTACATGATCTGTGCTTCTTTTTATGTGTAATTCTCATGCTAATACAAATGATTTATATTTCATTTATAGTCTTACTGAGTTTCTTTATAACTATATAACTGTATCTTCAAAATTTTTCTCAATTCTTGTTTATGTAGAGTTGATTCTCTCAACTAGCACTGATTAAAATAGAGCACTTCTATTCTTCCCTTTAACAGCTGATTTCATGGCTTATAGCAGTTTTATTAAATTCTCAAGTGATGTCCTGTATACATTTATTGTTTGAGTTAGCAGGTTAAGAATAGTTTTTGAGGGCCTCCCCTGTGGCATAGTGGTTGAGCGCTGGGTTGCAAAGCTGCCCGCAGCCTCTGCAGCGCCTGTTCGATCCCCGGCTGCTCCCCGGCCACCAGAGGAGGGTCCCACATGGCGCGCAGACCTCTCCTGCCGCCCGCTGCTCCCCTCAGCAGTGTATTTAATCAGTCTGCCTGTTCTGTTGCCCTCTCTGGCTCTGGTGAATTCTCTCACCCTCCCACGCTTCTCACTGTACCCAGTGCTTGTATAAATAAATAAAAATAAATCTTAAAAAAAATAGTTTTTGATATGCCAAGTATAAAAATTATATAGGTCAACCTAATATATAAACTCTCATTTCCCTACCCCCCTTCATCCTCTGTCTGATCTTTGGCTGCATTCTCGTAAATGATAGCGTTTACCTTCCCTTTTGTAAACATTTCATCCATGTCTTGCGTTATAGTGGACTGAGCACGCCCCTTTAATGCTTTTTACTTCATTTTTTTGCTGTTTGTCTTGTCTGATTCTAGGTTATCATCTAGTAGTTTTTTTGAAAGGGGTTATGAAAACAAAATTCCCAGAGTTCTTGCATGCATGAAAATATTTGCCTCTTGCCTTTCACCCGGTATAATATATTAACTACAAAGATCTCAATTTTCTTCTCCCAGGGGTCTCTGTAGAGAATTCTCCACTGTTCCAAGTGTGCAGCTGAAACCAGCCTGATTTTTCCCCCTTTTTTCCCCCTGGGCATAAGGTGTCCCCAACATCCCCACTGAATGATGCACCAGCAGTTTTTCCCCTGGGTAGGTGTGTTGATATTTTGACCTGTATGCCCAAAGCATTCTTTCTTTACCTTTGAAGATAAGGACTTTACAAGGCGAGTTCTCAGAACTGGTGTTTTGAATCACCTTTTCCATTCATTCTGCAGATTCAAGATTTTAAGTTTTAATTAACTTTCAATTAAGGCAAAATAAGGAATTTGTAATGTGCACCATTTTTAAGTGTATAGTTCCACAGTGTTAACTATATTCCCATTGTGGCCAGTGAGTCTGCAGAACTTCCTGTTTTTGTAAAACTGAAACTCTAAGCCCATTAAACAGCTCTCCATTCCCCTATTCCCACCTGATGCAAGTTTTCTTTCATTGTCAAGGGTCACTGTCTTCAGTTTAGTTTTTCTTTCCTGGTTGCTCAGTCCTCTTTGTCAGGTTACTGAACCTGCACTGAATCTGCTTCCAGACACGGTTCCTGACTTTGCTCCTCTGAATACACGTGGATGAAAGAGGTTGTGCTCAGCCCGTCTGCCCAGATCTGTGTTGGGGTGTTGGCTCCCTCCTGCAATCGGCTCCAGGTTCACTGTCCTTGGCAGCAGTTCTTCATGAAAGTGTTACTTGGGGTTTTGAGTACTTTTGACTTATATATACTTATATAATACTTGTATATTATACAGATACTTGTATTTATTTTCTTGTTTTTTATTGACTTATAAATACTTGTATTTATGTTCTTGCTTTAATCTTTAACTTATTTCAGAGATAAGACATTGGTGGATAAGCTCACTGTTTCCCCTTACACTTGGATTTGTATGGTTGAGTGTTTCCCTTTATTGTATATAATTGTTTAGTAGATCACTTACATGTGACCTTAAAATGCAGTCACTCCAGAAAGCAGGGTGGTTACCTACCAACTGAGAATCAAGGCTGTTTTTATTAAATCGTTATTTTTGTTGTTTAGTGAACTTGGGTGGGGAGGGACATGGAGGCTGCATAGCAGGGGTTTGTGCCTTGTGTGGTGGGTTCCAGAGACCTGCCCGCCTCCTCCCCAGGTGCTGGCACAGTGCACAGCCCAGGCACACGGGGGAGCTCCATGCCTTTTCTTCTGATTACCCTGTTCCTCCCTTTCTGTTTGTCTCTGCCCCTTGAAATGTTGTTTCTTCTCTGTGGTGGAAAGAGATTTCATGCGGGCTGGGATTCCTCTGAAACAGCGTCTGGGAAAGTTGTCCCCTTTCGCCAAGCTTTTTCAAGATGACAGCCTTCACGTCACCAGTGTTGGATGTGACGTGGCTGAAGCTTTTCTCCTTTGTGGTTGGAATACCTGGGGTGTGTGTGGAATACCTGGGGTGTGTGGAATACCTGTGATGCCAGAGAAGGTATCACAGGAGGCTGGTGCATCATTCAGTGGGGATGTTGGGGAGAGCTTAGGGCCTGTGGGGCCCTGCTGTGCGATGCCTGTGGGAGTCTCTCTGTACACAGACAACTTGTTCCGCATCTATTACCTTGGTGCGTTGGAGACACTGAGCGGGCTCCCCCACAGGCCGGCTTCTCACAGTGACTGATCTGGTAAAGAGGCAGCATTTGTGCCAAAACCATATTCTGAGACCAGAGAGGAGGCGTGAATTCCACAGGGTGTGAATGGAGATGCGTGTGGAGTGGATGAACATGCAACCTTCAGCTGATCATGACTCTGTGATTCTGTGTCCTCGGCACTGCTAGGCAGCGGGGAAGCACCTGTGAAGGGAGAGGCAGGAATCCCTGCCCACGTGGTGCCTGCAGTCTAGTGAGGAAAACAGGTGTGCAAGTGTTTTCCTGTTGGACAGTGAGCAAGGCGCAGGATGAATAAGGTGTAAATCTCTGCTCCCCATGGTGGTGCGGACAGTTACCGCGACGGTGTTGATTTAGTGTCTGGACATGGGGACGCGTTGCTAAGGGTCTGTGTGAGGAACCAGGGGCCAAGCAGAGCTGGATTGCAGTCTGGGCAGGAGAAGCTCAGCCCGTGTGACTGACTCAGGTGATTCAATGGTTGTGTGGGGGCTGCGTCCCCCAGGCAGACTGTGGCTGGCCCAGGGCCTGGCCAGGTCACCCCTGCCTGGTGTCCCTCCTGGGAGGGTTCTCCCCTCCCCCAACCCTGCGTTTTAGGGCCCAGCCCACAGAGCACAGGCACATGGTAAGGTGGCTACAGTCAATTTTATTGCTTTAGCTCGACTGAATGAATGAGGTTTAAGTGTGGAGATCTCATTTCATCCAGAATGAAGATGCTGGTGCCGGAGTGTCATCGGTCCTGTCCAATTTCAGTCCGTAGAGCAGAGAGTGGATGCGGGACTGAGTCTTGAAGGGCACACGCTGCTCCTCAGTACTCCATACTGTCCCCTCTAGCTCCATGTTGAAACTCTTCCCATGGAGGAGCTTGACAGACACAGAGGAAGAAGGTTAGACTCACAGAAGCCTGGAAACTTAACCTCCTACCCCACCTTGGAGCGGCATGAGGGACAGAAACAGGCCGGGTCACAGGAGGCCACCGGGGGCTTAGATCCCAGAAGCCATCTGGCAGCAGACCACGGGGGGTGAATGTCTGGACATGCAGACATTTGAAGGCACAATGTGGGCACATCAGCGGGCAGGGCCGAGGGGTGGCGGTTGGGGACACCTTCTCGCCGCCCGCCCTGCAGGTGTGTGGTGAGCACTCTCCTCCCACAAGGCTTTGCCTGCACTTGTACTCACCTGGAGTTGTAACTTTAGTTTTCAGAATTTCACCCGGCAGTTTCTTCAAAGTGTCCTTGATTAAATTTTTTCCATGTTTTGACAGTTGTTTGAGCAGGAACTCTAATGTTGGAGAGAAGGCCCATGGCAGTGTCATAAAGTGCTGTCATTTATTGAGGTTCCCTGCACAGCCTCCCCTGCTCCTCCCTGCTCAGAATCTCAAGTGGGGGAACTTCTGCTGAGCCGACCGGCTTCTCTGTGGCACGAGGCAGTTGGGCCAGGTGAGGAGTCACCTGTGCTGAGGGCAGCAACCTCTCCTCTTGAGAAACCCCGGTGTGGGGGCAGTCAGCCCCCCGTTATATCCTTGTGGTCAGGTGAGTGCTCCCCTGGGCCTGTCCCGTATGTGACAGCATCAGGAGGCCTGAGCCAGCAAGGTGGAGGCACACTTACTCAGGAGCCCTCCGTTTATACGATAGACGTTTCCCGGCACCCCATCTATTGGAGGAGTCATGGTCTTCTCTTCCAGCTGAGCTGTAAGACGTCAAGTTTTGAGATTAGTAAAGGCAAAGTTTTTGTTTTTTCCAAAACAGGTATCACATGTGGCTCTCCCGGCACATGCTCAGTCGGGCCCTGTATGACTTAAGAATGGTAAATTCTGGCGCTTTGTTGATTTCCTTTGCATTGTGTCACGACTCAGGATACCTCACACTGGGTGCAGGATGAAGAGGAGACACTGTACAACTGTTGCCTGCTAGAGAGATCTATATATATGCTACAACATCTGTAAGTGCCAGGACCTGTACATGCTACAACTGTGCGGACAAACATCTGTTGACGCCCAATTCCTATATGGACCGTGTAACCCCAGAGTGATAGGTCACTGGGTGGGGCTCCCAGGGATGCAATTAGGGCCCTTCGAAATGGAGAGCAGAGAGATCACTCTGCTGGTCTTTCAGCCAAGTGAGGCTACAAGAGGTTGGGTCTGCGACCTAGAGGAGGGTCCTCCCCCGTCCCGACCACGCTGACTCCCTGACCTCAGGCTCAGCGTCTGGGGCTGTGACAATAGATTTCCGTAGTCTAAGCCATGGTGACTGTTGTAGCGGCCTGCATGGACTGACGGTGTCTCTGGGAAGAGGGCAGGGCAGGGGCCTCTCATAGGAAGGTCGTGGAGGGTGTGGCCCCGGGTATGGGGAGAAACAGGCAGCTTTTGAGAGAGAAGCTGGGCCTTGGCGGCAGGGGTCAGGAGGGAAGATGCTGAAGGGGCTTCCTTAGAGGAGCAGAGTAAGCGGGAAGGGTCGCAGGGACAGGCGTGTGTGGGGCCGTGTGGTCTGTTTCGGCGAGTGGGTGGCACATGAGGAAGTTGGAAAGAGGCTGGAAAATGAGGTAGAAGCTGGAGGGGGTGTAATAACATGGACAGAGCAGCGAAGGGTTATGTTTGAGGGTGAGGAATTAACAGCAGGACAGTGTTTCCTTATCCCTTAATCTCATCTCGCGTCCTGTCCTTGAGAAACCTGCCCCCTGTCTCCCCGTGACTAGGCTGCCTGGCGCTCCTAGTGGTCCTGGCCTTGTTCCATCCCAATCCATGCTCCCGGCATGATCACTCCGTAAGGACACCAAACCCCATCCCCAGGATCTCTCTCCCAGCTTCCATGCCATTCCCAGGGGAGACCACGTCCTCCTGAGCGGGAGCGGGGGACTTACAAATCAAAGTGTCCAGGGAGACATGCTCTTTGCGTTCGGAGGGGTCATCGTCTGCAAGAGATGAGACACACAGTGAGGACTGACCCCAGACACCTGAGCCCCCCTCATCCCACCCTCAGGTGTCAGCAAACTAAGGACATGGGGACATCGGGCCCTTGGGCCGCATCATGTCTTCCAGCAGCTGCTCTCTCTGCGGCTGCACCGGGCGTCCTCGTGCAGGTTTCTAACCAGGGGCCGCTCGGAGCTGCGTGACTCTCCCTGCAAACTCTCTTCCCTGCTGGCTGCGGCCTGGGAGGCGCCTGAGGTCCCTGTGAGGGCCAGCACCGTGGCAGGGGGTGCAGCTCCCCAGTGTGCAGGACAGCGCAGCCCGGGGCCCCGGCCAGGGGGTTCTGATGCAGCTTCAGTGTGAGGAAGGCGGACATGCCCCTGCCTGGAAGCTGCACCCCGTGATGGAATCCTGCGCCACCCGTGTGGGTAGCGCTGGAAGGGACATTCAGCCAAGTCTCCAGAGAGAGCCAGCAGGGTCTAATCTATTCTGCTGTGCATGGCTGGCTCTTTGGAGGAATCGTCTCTCGGTAGAGATGACAGAGGAGGAAGGTGCAGTCAGGCGACCTTCCCTGTTGGTTTGTGCGGGGACAGGGGGAGAGAAAGCTGTCCTGTAGATGAAAGACCGACGAGAGGGGAGCTGATGTGAGAGGGGCAGCGGGGTGTTCCCAGCAGGAGCAGCGCCTTGTGCTGCAGGAGGGCCTGAGAGTCCCCACCACAGGCTGCACTATGCCTGGCCCGCGGGTCCCGGGCTGTGTCCTTCTGCAGCCCCTGCTGCTGCCTGGAGGGACCATGGCCCGAGTGCCTGGGGGCCCAGAGCTCCTGCGGGAGCCGCGAGGCTGTAGCCGTGTGAGAGGGGCTGTGTGGAGGGGGAGCCTGGACAGCCTGAGAGGCAGGGGTCCCTCCTGTTCAGTGCGGTGAGGAGGCAACATGTGCAGGAGCAGGGGGGGCAGACGCTGGCAGAGGTAGAGGGAGCAGGAGGGCACAGGGAGAGAGACAGGGGAGGGCAGAGCTCAGGCAGAGATGGAAGAGCGGGGGGCGCAGGGATGGCCACACTCACCAGCCAGAACCAGGGTCCCGGCCAGAGCCGCCAGGAACAGCAGAGCGAGGACTCTCATGCTGAGGGATGGGGTGACGCAGCCAGAGAATCCTCAGAGGGTCCAGGATTCTGTCCAGGGTGACCACTGGGCCCCTTTTAAGGAGATAAAGGGCCAATAGGAACCACGTAAACACGCGTGACCTCCGCGTCCTCTGCCCTCTTCCCCGAGGTGCCCTGATAGGTCCACAGGGCGCGCCCAGGCTGGCCGAGGACTGGGCCTGTGGGAGGCCAACCTGTAACCCGGAGCATGCCCGCTCCCTCGCCCCCTCCCCACCCCACTTGCCCTTTGGGTTCCTATCTTTGGGATCTCCGGGCCCGAGGCAGAGGGAGTCTTGCGGGAGGATTTGGAATGTGTCTCTGGAGGTTATGGGTAGGTTTCCTCCTTCCTGGTGACTTTCCACAGGAGGTTCGCGGCTCGGGACATCACGCGCTGGCCTCCTACCTCAGCCTCCCCTGGACTCATTCCAGGGACTGGGAGACTTTCTCTCAGGAGTGATCCTTTCTCTTCAGGCCACAGTGCCTGAGCTCCCACCTCCCTCCCTTCCACACGGGGTGGCTAAATATACCAATGTCTTTTTGGGAATTGCCTGCCTTCAACTGGTTGTCTACGTCCTGGGAGGATGCCCCCAAGCCCCTGCAGGCACCCCGTCTTCAGTCCTCATCGCTGTGAGAACGTTGTGGTTACAGGAGGGTAATCATTCCTGGTGTTGCGAGATGGTGCTCCCTGACGTGGATGCTGATCCATGAGGGGAAAACCCAGATAAGCAAACAATTCCCTGTGAATTATGAGTCCTTGCTCCTTGGAGCAGAGATTTAAGGACCCGGGTTTGAGTTCTGCATTTGTGCTGCACACAGGAGACATCGCTGTCATCGGCAGACAAACTCTGTGGGGCTTTCCTTTGTCATCACGGGAGAGTTTGGGGTTTAGTGAGAAGCTATAGGTCAATGTGATTTTAGACCACAAACTCCTGTCGAGGGCTGAGGCGTCCTAGTTCCTCACAGAAGGCACGTGGTGTGTATAGATTTGGTGCAGGGTGGTGCTAAGAGCTGAAAGAAGAGAGTTTTGGCAAAAGAGGGGCCGGGTGAGGGGCTGGGTGGGGAGAAGCCGAGTCCAGACACCAAGTTGAGCTTCTGCGTGTGCTGGTGCTGACTCTCCTCAGGCCGGGCTGCAGGCAGGGACCAGGCCTCTGTGGTCTCCAGCTCATGGCAGCTCTGATGACTGGCGTGGCAAGAGTTTCAGGGAGTTTTCAATTGAGGTAACATTCTTTGACAACACTCTAGGTCTTTTGGGATTACAGCTTCTTACTTAAATCACGTGTTACAACAAAGTATCTACCAGGCATATTATTTGTGTTGTCATTTTAACGTAGATCTGTCAAGATCAGGGCATTTCTGATGTCCCTGCTCAGCCCTCTCCCTCTGCCGGGCTCACCCCAGCCTCAGAGATGAGACGGGCGGGCAGTGACAGCGGGTGGTGAGGTGCAGGAATCCCCAAGCTCACTGTTGCTCTAAATATGGGTCCTTTGTTTGAACAGGGCAGGAATATGAAAGGAAAGAGGCCACTCCATGGTCTGAGTGAGCGGCTTGTCCTCTGTGGTGTCTTGTCTTCCAGGGAATATGATTCCACGACTGTCCATGGCTAGTCTTGTCATTCCTCAGTCCTGACTACCTGCTGTCCATTCTCTGCGTCCCTGTGTTTCCTTCCATCTCTGCGTGGTCTGAGGATGACCTTTGTGGATCAAGCACCTGACTCCCTTGTGCTCCAGCTCCTAGTCCTGACCGGCCTGTGGGCGCGTGGTGAGAAGTGACCAGATGGCAAGACAGAGCGGCAGACCCTGTTCCTCCTGCTCCCTCCGGCTTGGTACGTGTGGTCTGGGGATGCTCAGACAGTGCCCAGTGTCCTCTCCTTGTATTCATGTCCTATGTCATCCCCTCTGTCAAGCATGTGCTCAACCTAGTAATTTTCTTCTGCTTTATAGAAAATGGTGAAAGTGATGTCTGTCGGAGATTATGAAGTGATTATGAAAGAATGTGACTTCTGTCTTGCATACACACACACACACATACATACACCACATATACATACACACACTCTCTGTGTCATGCTCACTCAAGGGAATCTCATAGCGTGTTTCCTCTGTTGTTATGAGGCCCTCTGTGGAGAGGCCAGACAGGAAGGACTAGGCAAGCCTCCCTGCAGTAAGAGGGTCCCCATCCTGGCAGCCTACAAGCCTGTCCGTGAGCTTGTGGGTGTGCCTGGAGGTGACCTCAGTCTCCACTGTCCCTTCATTGCAGCTGCCAGAGCCTCTGAGCAGAGCACCCAGTGAGTGACCTGGGCCCGCTCACAGCACCCAGGAGGTAAACATGATGTTATTGGAGCGGCCAGGAGAAGGGAAATGTTGTGCAGCCAGAAAATCAACCAAGCACGTTGTGGGAGTGTGTGTTCCTCTCTCCTGCAGCTTCTGCAGGGGGCTGGCTCCCCAGCCCCATGTCCTGTCTGGTCTCAGCAAGGACGTCTCTTCCTGCTGCTGCTTGGTTTTCCGGGGTGGTGATGGGATATGCTGGTGGAAGTTCCATCTGCAGCAAAACATACTTATTTTTCTGTAAGATTCTAAAATAAGCCCCCCTAAGTCTGCCTCTG